AGGCAGGAATCTCCACACACCCCCCAAGAAGGGTTCTGTTGGCACAACCTGCCCCTGGCAAAGGGGACTGGCCCTTCCTGGTAGAAAGGGATGGACTGACAGTCACTGGACTCCAGGGGTTGCCTCACCATCAGGGGGGTCATTCGGGGTGGGAGCAGCGGCCGAAGCTCTTCCTGCAGTCGGGGCACTCGTGGGGCTTCTCTTACTGGTGAGTCCGTTGGTGTTGGGTCAAGGTAGACCTGTCGCTGAAGCTCTTCCCACACTCCTCACACTTGTAGGGCCTCTCCCCGGTGTGGATGCGCCGGTGGGTGATGAGGTGGGAGTTCAGCTTAAAGCCCTTCCCGCAGTCGGTGCAGCGGAAGGGCCTCTCATCTGTGTGTATCCGCTCATGCAGGAGGACACTGGAGCTGGTCTGAAACCTCTTCCCACATTGCAAGCACTTGTAGGGCCGTTCTCCAGTGTGGATGAGTTGGTGTCGGATCAGGGTGGAGCTGTCACTGAAGCTCTTCCCACATTCCCCACACCTGTATGGCCGTTCCCCAGTGTGGATGCGCTGGTGTTTGATCAGGTTTGAGCTGTCACTGAAGCTCTTCCCACATTCACCACACTTGTAGGGCCGTTCCCCAGTGTGGATGTGCTGGTGCCTGAGAAGGTTGGAGCTCACCCTGAAGCCCTTCCCACATTCCCTACATGTGTAGGGCCGTTCCCCAGTGTGGATGTGCAGGTGGGTGAGGAGGTTTGTGCTCTGACTGAAGCTCTTCCCACATTCCAAGCACCTGAAGGGCTTCTCCCTGCTGGGAGGCTGCTCAGGGACCACCAGCTCGGAGCTCCGGCTCAAGCTCCGGCCGCCTTCCCGGCACAGGACGGCTCTTTCCTCCTCACAGCTCCCTGGGCTGGCTTTGCAGCCCCTCCTCCGGGGGCATCTCCGGGCTTTTTCCTCCCCGCTGCCTTCCTGCGCCGGGGAGCCCTTCAAAACGGCCTCTCCCACCAGGCTCTGCCGGGGGGATTTGTCCTCCGTGCTCTCCGTCCTCAGCTCGGGGCCTGGGGCAGGAAGGAAGAAGGACAGGCAGGGGATTTGCCTCCGGCCCAGAGGGAAGGCCAAGGACATCCCCCCCAGATCCAGCCCCCACAGGCACCACAAGACAGGGCCAAAGGGGCACTGACTTCCTCCTCACCTGCCTGGGGGACCCGCAGCATCTTCATCACAGCCTCTTCCTCCATCTGCTCAAGGTTTGGGAAGGACAAATCCTGTTGGGGGGAAACAAGGGCTGAGCGCTTTGGCTTGGGGGTTCCTCCTGCCCAAGTCCATCTCTAGAACTCACCAGGCATCCTGGGACCATAAAAATATCTAAAACACCAAGATTTAACCTGGAAAAACCCAAATCAGAGAGATTCAGGGACAAGGCCCAGCTGTGCCCAAGGCAACCAAACAGCCCCACACTCAGGGGGACACCAGAGGCTGTCCCAGGGCAACAAGAGTAGAGTTCTTCCCCCTTCCCTTAACTCCCCTCTCCAATCGGCTCCCCAAACCCTGGTTACCTCCAGCTCCCTTTGGAGGTGACCCCCTGCCCCTTGCGCTCCCTTTGGGGTCCCATCCGGTCTTATCGCTTCTCTCGCCCCTTTCCCATCAGGACAGGCAGGGCCTGCAGGGGAAGGCACAGGGACAACCTGTGTCCCCACAGTGCTGGCTCTGCTCCTCCCTGCAGACTCCGTGGCCGGGCACACTTTGTGTTCCTGGGTGCCACCAGCTCAGCAGCTGCAGCCGCTCCAATCAGCGCCCGCAGCTCTGCAGCAAAGCCCCAGCTCACCTGGCACACAGGCCATGGACACAGCACCTTCTCCCTGCTGGGCACTCCCAGCTCAGCCTCTTCCCCAGCACGGGGCTCTCCTGCCTCA